AGATGGTTCTTTGTGATTGGTTGTCCTGAGGTTTCAAATAAATAAAATCTTAAAAAAAAAAAAAAAGAGATGAAAGACAAGCCACAGGCTAAGAGAAAATAGTTGCAATTCTGATAAAGGACTTGTTTCCAGAATAAAGAATTCTCTTCTTGTAAGATTTTATTTATTTATTTGAGAGAGAGAGCAAGAGAGAGCGCGAGCACAGAGGGAGAGGGAGAGGGAGAAGCAGGCTCCCTGCTGAGCAGAGAGCCTGACCCGAGGGCTCAGATCCCAGGACCCTGAGATCATGACCTGAGCTGAAGGCAGATGTTTAACTAACTGAACCACCTGGGTACCCCTGGAATAAAAAATTCTTGAATCTCAATAAAAAAACAACTAAATAAAAATGGGGGGAAAATATTTGATCAAATAGACGTGTCACCAAAGAAAATAAACAGATGGCAAATAAGCACATGAAAAGATGATCAACATCATTAGTCACCAAGGAAAACATGAATTAAAACTACAATGAGGGGGCGCCTGGGTGACTCAGTCAGTTAAGCATCTGCCTTCAGCTCAGGTCATGATCCCAGGGTCCTGGGATCGAGGCCCACGTCGGACTCCCTACTCAGGGGGAGCCTGCTTCTCCCTCTCCTCCCCACTTGTGCTCTCCGTCGCTATCTCTGTCAAATAAATAAGTGAAATATTTAAAAAAAAAAAAAAAGAATAAAAACCACAATGAGGGATGCCTGGATGACTCAGTCAGTTAAGTGTCTGCCTTCAGCTCAGGTCATGATCTCAGGGTCCTAGCATCTGGCTCCGTGCTCAGCAGGGAGTTTGCTTCTCCCTCTGCCCCTCCCCCCCATCGCTCATACACACAAGCGCTTGCGCTCTCTCCCTCTCAAATAAATAAAATATCTTATAAAAACAACAAACTACAATGAGATACCATGACACACCCACTAAAATGGCTAAAATTTAAAAATTGACCATACCAAGTGTTGGCAAAGATGTGGAGTAACGAGAACTCTTACATACTACTAGTGGGAATGTAAATGGTATTACCACTTTGGAAAACAGTTTGGTAATTTCTGAAAATGTTAAATATACATTGACTGTATGATCCAGCCATTCCCCCAAGAGGTATTTTGGTAAATATCTCTTGTGCACAAACATTCACAGCAGTTTTGTTTGTGATAGACAAACTCCAGAACATCCCAAATGTTCCCATCAACAGGTGGATGGATAAACTAACAGTAGTACACCCATACAATGGAATATTACCAAACAATAAAAAGAAATGAACTTTTTGATACATACTGCAACATGATGAATCTCAACATAATTATGCTGAGCATAAGAAACCAGGGGCGCCTGGGTGGCTCAGTTGTTAAGCGTCTGCCTTCGGCTCAGGTCATGATCCCAGGGTCCTGGGATCGAGCCCTGCATCGGGCTGCCCCCTCAGCGGGAGCCTGCTTCTCCCTCTCCCACTCCCCCTGCTTGTGTTCCCTCTCTCGCTGTGTCTCTCTCTGTCAAATAAATAAATAAAATTGTCAAAAAAAAAAAAAGAAACCAGACATAAAATTCCATTTATATAAAATTCTAAGAATTGCAAACTAAGGTGTAGTGACAGAAAGCACAGGAGTGGTCACCTGACAAGGAAAGGATTAAAAAAGACACAAGGAAACATCATAAGGGATAATGGATATGTTCATTATCTTGACTATGACGACGGTTTCACAAGTATATGCATGTGTCAAAACATCAAACTGTACACTTAAATATATGCAATCTATTGTGTGTCATTTATACCTCAATAAAGCTGGTTAAAAATAATAAAAAAGACCTACAATCTGGAAAATATAATAATTTCCACTTATCTGTGTTATGTTCACAAGCTGACTTTTCAGGTAGCACGCATTTCTTTTCAATAATATAGGAGCGCCAGAGAAAAGGAATGATCTTTGCCACTTGCAGCTTTGGCTATACCCCCACTTCTCCGCTTCTACACTAATAAGCTGGACAATGTAGGGTCTATTACCACCCGGCCCCTTCCCCACTCCCAACCCCCAGTCTTTTTGTCTCCTAAAGAAGCAGATCCTTACTTGTCTGGAAGAGCAGACACAAGGAACAAAAGGTTCAATGACTATTTGACAGATGAAAGAATAGACAACTGTTTTATTTAAAAGCTCCCTAAAGAATTAGAACATTTGAGGCTATACACTGTTCTGCTGAAATACAGTTATATATTACCCAGATCTGTAAGCACTTGCCAACAGACCTGTCCAAATCACTCACTCCCTAAGAGTTTTTGGTTTTCTTTTCTCTCCCTCTTTCCATTCCATGAAATAAATAATGGGCAGGTGTATTTTGAGAAGACATTCTTAATATTTTGAAAATTCTCTCAAATAACCCCAACAGCTTGAGACAATTTTTCAAATGTCTAAGACAGTGACCATAACAAGATCATAAAGGAAAAGACCAAACAATGGCTCTTATGTGTGAATCGTATATAAAGAGTGGCAATACAAAATAACAGAATCATTATTATCTGAAAACAATAGGTCACACTACAGTTCTACAACATAATAAGGCTTACAAATGATTAACAGTTATAAAATAATAATAGCAATATGGTGATTAAACAGTGGAGATTCTGGCTCCACCACTTAGTGGTTGAGTGACTTCAGGCAAGTTGCCTAACTTCTGAAAATCAGTTTACTCGTCTTTAGAACCAGGATAATATTAAGAAGAAGAATTCCTCTTCTCCATAGGGTTATAGTGAGGTTTAAACGTGTTCGGCTTACAGTAAGAGCTAAATAAACGTTAGCTATCAGAAGTATTATTACCCTGAACTTCCAAGGGATCCCATTAATTCACTAATCCTCCTGACTCTTGGTGCAAATCCTGTCATTTACTAACATGAAACTTCCGAGCCTCAGTTTCCACATCCGTAAAACGGGGGCGATTAATGTTACCTGACTTTGAAGGCTGTGGTTAAGGATTAACTAGAGATACAGCTCCCTTCCCTCCCATCTCCCAAAGCGAAGACCGCGGAGGAAGGAAATACTTCTAATAGCAGCAGATACAGTCAGTTTTTCCATTTCTGGCACGTGAGGTGGGGGGGAAGGAGGTGCAAAGAGCCACATAAAGGGGCCAAGTTCCTGAACGAAGCCCCCAAACGCACGCGAGAGGCAGAGTGACCCAGAGCGGCTCGACCGTCGGGGGCCCGACCCCGCGCAACTCCCTCCTCTCCCCTCCCGCGTCCCGGGCTGAGGAGCCTCCCCAAGTGAGCGGGGTTATTTCGGAATCACCATGAGGCAATTCTCATGAGGCAATGGGTCAGGAATGCGGCGCCGAGCCGGGCCGCTGGCGTCCGCGGTTCCCCGGGCGGCTCTACCTGCCCCCGTCCTGACGGGCATCCCCAGGGCTGCGGGAGCCGGAACTCGGAGAGGCAGGAAATGAATGGGGACCCGAGAGGTGGGGGCGCGGTGGCGCCGGGCCCCCGGCCCCCGGAGGACGAGAAGTTGGGAGGGAGCCTGCCCCCCGCGACCCCGGGCGGGAGTCCGAAGCCCGGCCGGGGCGCCCCCTCCCGGGCGGGGCTGATCGAACGCGGTGGGGGCCGGGCCGAGGCCCGGGCCCGGCCCTCGGGGCTCCTCACCTCCGCGATGTCATGTTCCTCCCGCCCTCCGGCTCCGCGACGGACCCGCTCCTTGCTCAGGCTCTGCTGGGCCCGGTCACATCGGGCTGGCCCGAGGGAGGCCCGCTCGGGACCGGACAGGGGGGCAATGCCAGCCGGCCGCGCGCAGACCCCCCTCCAGGCCTGGGGATCCCGGAGACTGTGCAGCCGCCCCCCAAGCCCGGTTCGCTCCTCCTCCTCCCCCGCCTATCCCCGCCGGCGCCGCCGTGACGTCACCCGCGCGACGCCCGCCGCCACTTCCTGCTCCCACTCCTCCCGAGACTGAGCGGCGGCTGCTAATGGCAGTTCAGTGTCTCCGTGGAGCCGCCGCGACGCAGTTAGCAAAGCTCTCACCCTCCTTTAGACCTGGGCTGTAAGGCGCGCGCACGGCGCCCTCACTACTGTGCGCATTCCCACGAACCGATCGCGTTCGCTCCCACCGTGTCAATTTCCATCCCTGCCCTGACGGCCAAATCGAATTTCATTCATTTCATTCCACAAATCGCCGCTCCACTTTTTAGCTGTGTAACCTTAGGAAAGTTGCTGAGCGTCAGTTGTTGAGTCTCTGAGCTTCAGTGTTCTCCATTTCTTCATTTCTGTAAAATGAAGATAGTAACTGTATTCTCTTCATAGGATTATTATGGGGATTAAATATGCAAACTGCTTAGAACCAGGCCTGGCCTATTTAATAAGTGCTTTGTAATTCTTACCTGGATTATCATGATAATTAAACATCTGGTAGGCACTGTTTTAAACTATGGGGATACAAAAAAAAAAAACAAAACTATTAGGGTAGTGAACTGAGGACAAAAATCCCTGCTAAAATACTATATTTCCATCTTCCTTTCTTTTCTTTATATCCCTTTATATTATAATTTGTAAAAGATTTTTATTTATTTATTTTAGAGAGAATCCCAAGTAGACTCCTCACTGAGCCCATGGAGGGGCTCTATCCCACAACCATGAGATCATGACCTGAGCAGAAACCAGGTCACTCAACCAAGTGAGCTGGGCACTCAACCAAGAGTGGATTCTCCACTGACTGTGTCACCAAGGCATCCTTTATCGTTTTTTCTAAAGATTTATTTATGTATTTATTCATTTGAGAGAGAGCACAAGCAGGAGGGGCAGAGGGAGAGGGAGAAAGAATCTCAAGCAGACTCCATGCTGAGTGGTGGGCACCACCAGAGGCTCAATCTCCCAACCCTAGCCTAAACCAAGAGTTGGAGCTTAACCGACTGCACCATCCAGGCACCCCTATATTTCATCTTAAATACAGTTGTTAGGTAAGTCTTCACTGAGGATGACAAGCTGAGTACAAATCTGATCCTGGAGTAGTCAGTGGGAATAACTCTGGCAAATAGCATTTCGCATCAGTGGGAATAACTCTGGTGAATAGGGAGAGGCAAGTGCAAAAGCCCTGAGGCAGCAGGCTGCCTCCTGTATTCCAGAAACTATGACGAGATCTCTGACTGGAGTGCAGAAGGCGGTGGGAGGGGTGAAGGGAGACCAGTAGAAGATGAGGTGAGAAAAGCATAGAGATGATCTAGGGTCCTATAAGCTATTTAAATGAATAGTAAAATGGAGAGCCATTGAAAGATTTTCAGCAAAGAAGGAATATAATCTGTGTTTTGAAATTAAAAGTAAGGGGGGCGCCTCCGTGTCTCAGTCGTTAAGCGTCTGCCTTGGGCTCAGGTCATGATCCCACGGTCCTGGGATTGAGCCCCACCTCGGGCTCCCTGCTCAGCGGGAAGCCTGCTTCTCCCTCTCCCACTCCCCCTGCTTGTGTTCCCTTTCTCGCTGTCTCTGTCTCTGTCAAATAAATAAATAAAATCTTTTTAAAAAATTAAAAGTAAGGGTACTCTGGGAGAATCAGATCAAGAGGGCAAATCTGGAAACAGACCAGTTCAGAATACTAGAATACTATAATATTCCAGGCTAGAGATAATGGTGGCTCAGACCACAATGAGAAGGTAGAGCCTTTACCTGATGAATGTCCTCGTGATTCATTAAAGGCCACAGATCTAGTAAGTGGCAGAGTCAGAATTTGAACCCACATCTAGATAGCTCCAAAATCTTCATTTTTATTTCCTCCCAATGCTTCCCACCCATTCCTATACAGAGAACTCTGATATAGTGTGCTGACTCTTCAGCCTTGGTGATACCAAAAAAAAAAAAAAAACCCTTACAAAATTTGTCTTTAACATATGTCAGTTTAATTTAGGTAATAGGCCTTCAACAAGCAGTTGTCCACCCTGTTTCTTTCTAGACCCCCTAAAAGTCCTGGCCATCTAAATGAGTCAAACAACACTCTAACTGATCTTAGGCCTATAGGCTTGCCCTTTCCAACCCATTCTTCACATAATAGCCACAGTAATCTAAAATGCAAAACTACTCACTCCCTACATTGAATACTTCAATGGCTACTCATTGTTTTTAGGATGAAATCACAAAAAAATTTTAACAACCCAGTCTGGTCCCCACTTACCTCACCAGCCCCTCTTCCCACGACTCTATGACCCAGCCATGCTGAATGACCTTCAGTTCCCCTCAATATACCATGCTCTCTCGCAGCTCAGGATCTTTACACAATCTACTCCCTCTCCCTGGAGGCTTCTCGGCCTTTTGGCTAAAATCAAGTGTAGTATCTGGCCTCTTTCCTCATGAACTCTAGTCTATACCTCAGATCTCACACTAGAAGTCACCTCCTCTGGGATAGGAAGACTTACCTGATTCTCCCAGTCCAGGTTAGATGGTCCCCAAGACACCTATCCTAGCTTAGAACTGAACACAGTCCACTATAAATCTAAGACACAGTACCACATGGGAGTTAAGTTCTTAATCTCCAAAGCTCAGCCTGCCTACCTGGGTGTCCAGAGGTAAGTCACAAGACTTCTCTGTGTTTCAGCTTCCTCCTCTGTAAAATGGAGGGATCAACATACCACCACATAGGATAGGTGGTAAAGCATGAAAGATTTGCTATTGGGGGCTCCTGGGTGGCTCAGTCCATTAAGTGTCTACCTTCAGCTCAGGTCATGATCCCAGGGTCCGCCTCCCTCTCTCTCTCTGTGTCAAATAAATAAATAAAATCTTTTTTTAAAAAAAAAGAAATATTTGGGGGTGCCTGGGTGGCTCAGTTGTTAAGTGTCTGCCTTCAGCTCAGGTCATGATCCCAGGGTCCTGGGATCGAGCCCCGCATCGGGCTCCCTGCTCCGCGGGGAGCCTGCTTCTCCCTCTCCCACTACCCCCGCTTGTGTTCCCTCTCTCGCTGTGTCTCTCTCTGTCAAATAAATAAATAAAATCTTTAAAAAACAAAAACAAAAACAAAAGAAATATTTGGTGTTTATGAAGTAATGCTGGGCAAGTAAGTACTTCCTAATGCTGGTTATCATGTGTCTCTTTCCCAAAGCAAACTGTAATCTCTGAATGCAGAAACCATTGCTTACCCACTCTTTCGAATATTCTATGCAGTCTGCAGCTAGAATGATCTTTTGAGAATACAAACCTAATCATGTCATTCTCAGGTTCTATGAGGGAGTTCAAAACCTTTAATATTGGGCGCCTGGGTGGCTCAGTCTTTGGGCATCTGCCTTCGGCTCAGGTCATGATCCCAGGGTCCTGGGATCAAGCCCCACAACAGGCTCCCTGCTCCATGGGAGGCCTGCTTCTCTCTCTCCCACTCCCCCTGCTTGTGTTCCCTCTCTCGCTGTGTCTCTCTCTGTTAAATAAATAAAATCTTTAAAAAAACCCACCTTTAGCATTAAATGATAACCTTGCATTAGCACATCAGGCCCTTCAAAATATGAACAATGCCTACTTGTTCAGCTTCATTTACTTCCACTCCCTCACATGATCTCGCAGTTTCCAAAGCCCACTTGCTGTTTCTTGCATCCCTGTCTTCCTAAATTTAGTTCTTTCTGTCTGGAACATCCTTTAAACCCATCTCCACCTGGAAAACTAAGCATCAGGCAAGATTCAGCTCTAACTAAATCAGTTCCTCCAGGAAAAAGTCTCTGCACACACCCCTCAAACACTTCCTGAGAATAAAATAGAGGCCCCCTCCCTATGCTTTGGGGGCTGCCTATTCATCCCTCTGTAAGCCCCTAACACAGTTTAATATCACTGTTAGTTCATTCTTCTGTCTCTTCCCCTAGATCATGAGTTCCTTTGCTTCTTCACCTTAATTTCATACTAATTTTTTAAGTAGGCTCCACACCCAACGTATTATGGCTTGAACTCACGACCCTGAGATCAAGAGTCACATGTTCCACTGATTGAGCCACCCAAGCACCCCCTTCTTCATCTTTATATATGCCCAGAGTCTAAAGTGCCTGCTTTAGAATAGGCTTATGAAATGTTCATTTAGGAAAAAAAAGAAATATTCATTTAAATTTTTTTCAGATTTTATTTATTTATTTGAGAGAGAGAGAGACAGAGATAGTGAGAGAGAGCACAAGTGGATTTCTTTCTCAACCACAAAAGCAATACAAATTCCTTGCAACAAACCTAATAAAGACAGTAATTTTCCCTGCTCCTCATGGATACATATTCCCAACTCAAACCCCCACCAGTGTTAATGGTTTGGTATGTATTCTTCCACCTTTCTCTATGCCTATACAAATACACACACATATGGGGCACCTGGGTGGCTCAGTGGTTAAGCGACTGCCTTCAGCTCAGGTCATGATCCTGGAGTCCTGGGATCGAGTCCCGCGTCGGGCTCCCTGCTCATTGGGGAGTCTGCTTCTCCCTCCGACCCTCCCCCCTCTCACGTGCTCTCTCTCTCTCTCATTCTCTCTCTCTCAAATAAATAAATAAAATCTTTAAAAAAAAATACACACACATATATCTCACTTGCACGCTCACATAAATAACATATATACAGATTTTTTTCTTTTTTTATTTAAATTCAATTAATTAATATCATGTATTATTGGTTTCAGAGGTGGAGGTCAGTGATTCATCAGTCTTATATAATACCTATTGCTCATTACGTGCCCGCCTTAGTGCCCACCACCCAGTTACCCCATCACCCACCACCCTCCCCTCTAGCAACCCTCAGTTAGTTTCCTATGATTAAGAGTCTCTTATGGTTTCTCTCCCTCTCTGGTTTCATCATGTTTTATTTTTCCCTCTCTTCCCCTATGATCCTCTGTTTTGTTTCTTAAACTCCACATATCAGTGAGATCA